GATGATTACACGAGCCATTTCCTGTTTATTATCAATTTGTGTATATACTTTGTTTTGGAGTAACTTCTCTAAAATATATTTTTAATTAAAACATTTTCCAAGAAAAAAAAACCAACAACATTTTAAAATGTTGATTAACGTACATACAAAAATATGTTGTTTTTTTCTTTTTCTTTTTTTAACACTGCAAAACAATATAGAAATTCTGATAATGTAAAAAGACTTCAATTTTCATAGGGAACATATGCCATGTTAATTAAAGTCACCTAATCATACTGGTGTGTTCTCTTGAATGGCCATAACTTTTTTATTTCTCAATGAAATTTTGCCAAGTTGGTATTATTTTGCTTGCAATAGTATGTACTTTCTACATGTAAAATGATAAATTCTAAGAGGACTAAAATTTTCATAGGAAGAATCCATCATTATGTTATACTGTGTCAATCGTACTCAGTAGTGTTCTCTTGAATGGCCATAACTTTTTTATTTTCCATGAAATTGTGCCAAGTTGGTATTATTTTGCTTGCAATAGCCTCTACTTTCTAAATGTAAAATGATAAATTCTAAGAGGACTAAAATTTTCATAGGGAGAATCCATCATTATGTTATACTATGTCAATCATACTCAGGGGTGTTCTCTTGAATGACCATAACTTTTTTATTTTTCAATGAAATTGTGCCAAGTTGGTATTATTTTGCTTGCAATAGCCTCAACTTTCTAAATGTAAAGTGATAAATTCTAAGAGGACTAAAATTTTCATAGGAAGAATCCATCATTATGTTATACTGTGTCAATCGTACTCAGCAGTGTTCTCTTGAATGGCCATAACTTTTTTATTTTCCATGAAATTGTGCCAAGTTGGTATTATTTTGCTTGCAATAGCCTCTACTTTCTAAATGTAAAATGATAAATTCTAAGAGGACTAAAATTTTCATAGGGAGAATCCATCATTATGTTATACTCTGTCAATCATACTCAGGGGTGTTCTCTTGAATGACCATAACTTTTTTATTTTTCAATGAAATTGTGCCAAGTTGGTATTATTTTGCTTGCAATAGCCTCTAATTTCTAAATGTAAAATGATAAATTCTAAGAGGACTAAAATTTTCAAAGGGAGAATTCATCATCATGGTCATAATACTCTGTCAATAGGAATTGGATTGTTCACGTAATTGATTACCATAACTTTTTGTACTTTTCATTGAAGTTTATTAGTTGCCAGTTTGGAATACAGTTAAGTTTTTGTTATAGCACTCACACAGTTAATCAAACCTAAACACTTAGAAAATGACCAATGGCAAGGGGAGACTTTTTTTTAAGTTTCTAAAATTTCAATAAATTATTCGAAAAGGGGGAACTTTATCTGCCTTATAAATACATTGTTACTTTTCAAAAATAGAAATTATGTTTTCAAAGTCAGATACCTGCATTCATATAAAATATATATTTATTTGACCCCTAAAATTCATCTGTGAAACATGAGTATTGCAAGTTTTCGCCTTTTAATTCATGCAAATTCACTTGGCTGAGTACTTTTATTTGATAACGCTCTCCAAGTGAAAACGGTACCATGATTAAAAATATTTCAACATTCATTTAAAGTAAAAATATATAGTCGTTATAGAATACTTTATTTAGATGGGAACAAAACGCCCGAAGTGAATCCACATAGTCGAGACGAATACACACATTACACTGTTCCTATCTAAATCTCCGTTACGTTTTTTTTATAGTAAAAATTCACAGTCTGTAAATGCATTGATGCAACTGTGATGCATGAACAGGAAAGAAGACCGAAGTGGCTGAACTTTTGTTGTCTGCTAAAAGGATTAATTCACGTACTTTTAAATCAATGTAGTCTCATTTATATTCATTTTATTGAGATATTGGTTTAATACGTAATGCTTGAATTAGTCCATAATCACCTCAGCGCAAATTAATAAGTCAAAAGGTGCTACAGTTCCATTCAGCATATTCAGTTATGGAATTCCCTCCTATGTATAAGGAGCACTCGAGAAGGTACTTTTATAAAATAAGTTTATTCAGTATATAACTTTGGGCATTACAGCCCATCAGTTTACAAAATGACAATATGACAAAAATATGATAAAATTGACTCTCAATGAGTCTAAACTGGGGGTGAAACATTTAAAGGTCGGAAGTATTTCAGCAATTATAATATAACCAAAACCCATCACAAACCTATTTCAATGATATTTTCAAAAAATGGCTATTATTTAAGCTACCATTCATCATGTTCCTTGTAAAATCAAGATAGATCTATGCAGAAGTTTATTTTTGGTTTATGATAGTAAAGACTAAGAATAACAACTTTATATCTTAGACAACCATGACAACAGCATGTATATAATATGACAGTAAATTTTTTTTAACAGTAATATAAGCTAGAGTAGAAATATCAAGGTAATGATTTTAAAATGTTGAGTTTTAATGAATTATATGGCAACAATTAAGCTTTCAAAAGTAATTTTGACCCTTGACTGTATTAAATTAAAAGAATCAAAACAATTTCCATTCTCCTGTAGGATAAAATATTCTATAAATCATTTTGGTAGAGAACTTTTTATCCTATTAGTGTCAATTATAGAACTTCTTGTCCCATTTCATACATTATGGGATAAAAAATCCTATGTAGGGTTAAAAATGGGAGTTTTGATTCTATAGGAGAAAAAATCCCACAGAACTCATTTTTCTCCCACAGAATAATGGTGGGATATTGGTTAGGAGAGAAAATCCCACCATAATCCCATGGGATTTCTTGATTGCAGGTGTAATATCTTTTAAACTAGAAGATATTCAGGTGTAAAGGTTAGTCCATGTTGTGCGATTAAAAAAATCCCACCAGATGACATAAATGGTTTTCATGTATCTTTGGAAAAGTGGTTGGCGAAAGTCCGGACAAATGTCGTGTCCGGAGTTAAATGTCGCACTGTTTTAAGTAATTACATTGAATAGAACTCAAAGTGATAAAAATCAAAATTTTGACAGGAATTTGTAGCATGTTCTCAGGTATAGTCTTGCCTTGGGACCTGCAGAACCTCTCTCCTTAAGGATTTTCTATAAAGTTGTAGTTGTATTTTTCTTAACTGAATATGTTCCGTATGTATATGAAGAAATTGCATAAACATATGAAAATATGCGAAATGGAAATTTACTTGGAGCTGAGCGGATCAAAAACCCTTGACTTGGAAAGATGCTTAATTACCTATACATGTACACATTAAATATTGTGTGAAGAGTGCTTCCCTTTGAATGATTTAATCTATATTAAGAAGCTCCTGTATGTTGCGTTGGTTTTAAATTATTATATATGCAATGTGTTAGGTTGTTCTTTTGTGAAGTGTATTGGATTAAAGATGCTGCGAATACTTTAATCAGTTTTGCTAGCACGATATCCTTTAAAACATATATTTTTGGGGTTGAGGGTGGTTAAAAAACATTCCTTAGGCCAGGCGTCTATTATATTGTTATACTGCTTGTCCAATTGTTTATTGTCCTGGCTATAAAAAATATTCCTACAATATCAGAGAGTTTAAATAATTATCTTTTCTAAACACGTCTCGGCTACGGTGTGTTCTCTGCATTGGATAATTTTTAAATTAGCAAAATATATTCAATAAAAACATAAGATAAATTAAAATCAATTGGTTGGCAAACAAATTCTAGAAAATCGATACATACTTTATTACTCAAAAACAGAAAATTGAAATGAGCAAAAAAATCTCGCGGAACAAAAGTAATTATCAAATTATGGTACTATCTAATTGTACATAGAAAATCAACAGTTTTTTTCTGTGAAAAGGCATTTTCTTAATTAACAAATTTAATGAACAAAAAATCTCGCGGAATAGAAGCAAGGATAAAATCATTGTACTTTCTAATTGTACATAGTAAATCAACAGTTTTTGCTGAGAAAAGACATAATATTTCCTTAATTTACAGAAGTATAACAAATGTATATATAAATGGATTAAAAGATATAGGATGTATATGTAATATTTAATATATATCTCCATGCTTATGACAATATGCAATACACACCCTTGTGTATAAACTGAGAGTAATGTGATAATTTTTTACTTTACTTACATGTAATTCAAATACAGGTAATTTCGTATAACTTGGAATGGATAAACATTTTTTGTTCTTTTTCTTTTTAAGTAAATAATTAAGTATAGAAAAAACGTTAGTAGTAATAAGAGTATTGGAGCATTTAAAAAAAAAATTATAACTAATATATATGCTTAAATATTTTAGAAGTTGTTAATTTATAAACCATATGAAGGGTTTGTTTTAATGAAAAAAAAACTCTCTGTTAGATAAACAAAAAATCATATTAACCATAGCAAATCTTTTTTGACTCATGATTATTGAAAAAAAAATGACTAAAATATATTAAGCATAGTGTGAAAAAAAACTAATTTATATCCAGTATAGCGTAATGGAAATCCCAAAAATAAAGACCTATAACCCCATAGTGAGATTATTTTCTTATGGGCTTTTTTATGTCTTGTCGGTGTGTCAAAAACGTCCAAGACATTGAAATACAAGAGCTAGATTTTAGACAATTGTATTGCTAAATGAAATATAATCCAATCTTTTTTTATATAAATTTTGTTTCAAACAATTAGCTAGTTCAAATTTTAATTGTATTTTTTTAGTGATCAGAAATGTTGTACTCCCGTACTTAACGCAGTCCCTCGACTATAAAAGCCAGTGTTCTCGCGAAAATCACTATATATTCCTTTAAAATGTTAAAATATTTAATATTTATGATTTATAGAATGTTAATAGCTATATTGAAATTGGACAATAGCCTTACGACCTTACATGTAATACAAGGTAAGCACTTGAATTGAAATATTAAATATTAAAGATATACAACGTGTTTTTCCTATCCGCAGTTAACAATTCAACATTTCATCAACGTTGTGAACCTCAGTATTCAGACGTCCGGTCCACATGTCTTAAGCTGTACTACCGAGTGTTATAGATAAATCTTAAAAATAGAATATCGCATGGTCCTACAGCTCAGCTGAAATTAAAAATAGTGTACATATGAATTAAGAACACACTCTTCAAAAATTTTAAAATTTAGCTAGATCACTGGAATTGATGTTTACCAAATCAAATAAGCGCTGAAATTAAATAAAAAACAAGGAAAGATATCTAAGTGTCAATAATGTACCGTGCACGAATGGTTCAAGCATTGGATAAAATAATCAAAAACTTAAAGAGGATGGGGGCCTGCAAATTTACCATCAGATATAACTTATTTTTAAGACATGATATCTTAATCTGTCAATTATCATTAAATAAAAACTTTCATACATTTTAATTCTAAAATTTAGAACTTTTGTATATATTCATATGGAGATCTTCTTCTAAAGGAGAGTCGTGAAGTAAGGAGTCAATCCTTACGTCGCGTGTTCGAATCCCACTGCGGGACGTGGAGACCGGTCCTTCGGATGAGACCGTATAAACCGAGGTCCCGTGTAGCAGTAGGTGCTGGCACGAAAAAGATCCCTCCCTGATCAATGGCCCTGAGTGCCGAGTAAAGGACAAAATTTTCAGCTCTCCACCGGCAAATGGTGGCGTCTCCATATGAGTGAAAAATTCTCGAGAGGGACGTTAAACAATATACAATCAATCAATCTTGTTAAGGAGATCAATCTAGTCTAAAACGTGCCTCAAACACCATCCCTCTAAAACAACGTTATCTAAGTCCAAGGGTTATGTGACTCTGAATAACGTATATATACGTTCACATAGCTCACAAGAATCTATCTTTAGTAAAAGATAAGAAAAAATAACAACCAGATACGTTTTTTTTAAGATATCAGGAACATTTCTCATAGATTTATATTTAAATTGTTTGAATAACTTTACCAGTTATAGTTAAAAGGATTTTCCAAAATTTTACGGTAAAGTTAAAATGCGGTATACAATTAAAAAGAAGGCAACACAAATTTCTGTCAAAAAGTTTCTATAGTAAAACATAAAAACAATTAAAGATATTAAAAAATGGGAGTTCAATAAAAGTTATCTCTTTTATCTACTGTTGCTAAAAATAATACGAAATAAAATTTCATACTGCAGTGTAGTACATATTTAGATAGAGATCTAATTTAAAAAGTATATAATTCATTTTTTTCTCAAATTAATAAGCAAAGAAAGTTGTAAATTGATTCTGAGAAATTATATCAATCGACTTACCTTCCCCCCAAATCTCCAAAAGTTGTTTTTTGTTTATTCTTTTGTCGGAATGAACTTTGCACCTAGGGCATGGTGGAAAATCTGCAGAAATTTTCAAAAGTTCTTTTTCAGAAATAAATTGCCTTTCGTCTTCTTTTGTGATGAAAATAGGTTTACATGAACAAGGGAAGCCTATCTCGTAATCTACATTTCCATGAAATGTTTTTGTTAGTTCTGATATTTTCTTTTCAATTTTCAAACGAATAGCACGTGTTCTTTCCGTTCGTAGCGGTATGCCATTTCCCGGAGGAGTGAGCACCTGCAATTGAATTGATGTTTTGTTGACTGCAATGGCAACGGTGTGATACTCATCTTTTTCAGCTCCGCAGAATAAGGCTATATTTTTGTAAAGCTCCTTTGCTTGGGTATCAAAAAGGGCAAAGCAAGCAACAACAAGGCGAAAGAAAAAGAAGTGGGGTAAATATGTCTTGAAGTAAAATGAGAGTATTGGTGTCTTCTTCCATCTTGTCCATTGTTCCCCTTTCATCAATTGCCTTTTGTTCATGCTCGGGATATAGTAGCATTGGTTTTCTCTCGTGTCTTTTTTACCTATTTGTGCAAGGATTCCAAGCTTCTCCATAAAAGGTGTTATCCTATTCAGGTATCTGGCATAAGTGGAGTTGTTTCCAATCTCCTTCCAAATCTTGAGCATCAATGATTCAGTTATCATACCGACATCAAAATATTGATCCCAATCTTCATGAGTGGCCATTTTTATTGGTACATGCTTCCGATCAGTTATAATGTATTTGAATGCATCAACAAACCACTGAATGTCCAAAATAATGTCATCACCTAAATCCGGAAAATACAGAATCATTCCAATTTCGTGATAAAATTTCAGAATATCACTAAATTCATCCTGCGTTAAGTGTTCTGAGAATTTCTGAAGCTGATCTTTAGATGATATCTTCGATCCTTGTCTTTCGCGAATAATTTGTTCGAAATCAGACCACTGCTTTGGTACTCTTTCTCCCCAGTGCGGAAGGGATTCTAAAGTTTTTGCAATGTAACGTCTAAGTTTTTCAAGCTCTCTAAGTTCATCGTGGGATCTTTCTCGTGGAGGAAGTTCTAGTTCAAAGTGCTCACAAACAAGGTTTTTAATATTCTCTGGTATATGTTTGTGTAGTTTGATGAAAAAACTTCCATATGTGGAGGTATCCTCATCACAGGCCTGAAATAAATATCTCAATAAGCCTTGCCAATAGATTATAGATAAGTAGTATTTAGGCAAATTTAAATCAACAATAGGTTTGCTTGTTGTGAAGCGTCTCTCTCGAGAAATATCACCCGCATTGAGACGTCATTACTTGCTGATGGAGAACTGTTAATTTCTACTATCTAGGGGTGACACAAAATCGCAAAATTCCCCCGTATCTCGTATCTAGATTACCGCAATACAAATCTAAGTAAAAGCATATGCAAAGTCAAAAACATAGTCTTAAAAGATCATGTGTGACAGAATTGTTTGCTCTATATAAGGCAACACCTCAAACAGCAAAAATGTCGTCATTATGTAGTAAGTACATGTGTGTATATGACCTATGGTAAAAAATGTTACTTGTATATTAAAAAGTCGTTTAAAAAAAATTCTATTGTCTTTATAATTACTCTGCTAGTAAACAAGAATAAACTGACATTTTAGTAATACCGTATAACACGTATTTTATGCGGTTGTCCAATTTTTGCGGATGGAACGAATCCGATAAAAATTAAAATCGCTAAAGATTTTCAATAGACTTCAGGTATTTTATACATGCAAGTACAGTCCCTGAAACGTTCTACTTTCCCTTTTTTCCGTTCGCTTACCGTTCGTTCACCGTTCGTTCAGCGTTCGTTCTCCGTTCGTTCAGCGTGCGGTCACCGTTTGCTCTTCGTTCACAGTATTGCGTTCACCGTCCACCGTGCGTTCGCGTTCACCCTTCACAAAACGTTCACCGTTCGCTCTTCGTTCCGTTTACTTTGCGTTCACCTTGCGTTTACCGTTCACTTATCGTTCAGTCTTCATTGTCATTCGGAACTCCAAAGTGAACGGACTTATCTTTTTGATGGTAAGGATTTACATGTTTTTTAATTAAATAACTTAGATATCGTGTTTGAAGAATAATTATTTCATTGCAAAAATTATCTATGATATTTAAATTTCTATTATTATAACTTATCTGTTACTTATTTCATGAAATTTCCCTGGGAAATAATTTATTAAGTACCTACATGTGTGTAGAACGATGCTAAAATATTAAATTTAAAAAAAGGGCAATGTACAAATGCTTCACACACGGCATCAATTTGTTGTAATTTTAAAGAGGACAAATTATTAATGGATGTATAATAATTAAGTCTTTTACAGGACAAAAATACATAAAAAGAATTATTTCTACAGTAACACGTATTTTAACGACATGTAGGTTTGAGAATTATGAACAGTACTGCAAATATTCAATTAATTAAATATCTTTAGAGCTAATTAAATTGATGGTGTGGTTTTAAATTTTAGAAAAGACCAAAATGTTTTAAAAAATCTATTATTAGAGAAGGAAAAGTCCTTCCTTCACCTTTTCATGTTTTAAATATATGTTTGCCATTCACTATAATTAAGACCCCCCCCCCCCCCCCCCAGGTGCCTTTTCTCCCGAAATAAAATCCTTATTGAGTTTTTTCAGTATATTTTAATTAATATTTAATTACTATTGTAACACAAGAAAATCAGTCTTAAAACCAACATCAAACAGTCATTAAACAAAAGTGTTTTAGAATAAACTTGTGCCGACAGTAGTATTTTAAACTGGCAGGGAATATGTTTCAAATCAATTTAAAACTTAATTCTTCGAAGTATATCTTCTAATTATTTTTTTTTCTGCAGGAATGCCAAAATCAGATCTAGAAAATGATAGGGAAAAATATTAAAACTTCTTGGAATACTAAGTGACTCTTGGCCGGTGAAACGCGATTTCCACACCTCCACTGTGTTTAATTATTTTGATTGACAGGACAAGCACGCTACTAGCACGGACTTCCTGTAAACTGAATGAACTTGATGATGGAAAATAAAAGCCAATGATTACGGTCATTTGGATTTGTTAATGTAAAAAAATGATTAGCTTTACTGTTTGGAATATTTAGGAAAAATAATAAGAATTTTTATTTGATACAAATGTACTACAGATATCTGAGAATCGAGGGGGTTATCTCTCTCTCTCTCTCTCTCTCGTACATTTCTCTGTTCAATAAAAACTATGACAGCAAATTACTAATTTAATCTATTACAAATAATTTGAATGCCTCTTTCCAACATCTTGACCGAGTATAATCACGGCCGGGAAATGTCTACAGATACATGAAGTTAGTTAAAATAATCGTCATACAAAAGGCACACAAATATAGAATATTTTGCATTCGAATTTCAATAAAACGACAGATTTATGCAGTAAGATAACAGTCAATGTCAACAGATAATTGTGAATCTGAAACATGTAAAACATGTACATGTACTGTATGTTTTTTTTTTTCAACCGCGTACAATGTAATCACCGGTAATTCATTCTATAAGTAGTAGTTTTATCTTCAGAAGTCCACATTATTTTATTAGTGAAAAGAATAAGCATATTCACTATATAATAGATTAATTTCATATTTAATCTACACGCGTTTGGAAACAAATACACATGTTTTACGGCAATAAAATCGTGTTACAAAAATATCGATGAAAACATAAGTACAAATATGTACAGAACAAAAATGTTTTTAATATTTATTAATTTCTTAATTAATTAATTAATTTATTTATTTCTTGTTTATTTATATTTAAGCACTTGGAATTAGAATTATAGAATGATAGAATAATCTCAATGCAAGGAAAAGATCGGAGGCATTCCGAATAAATCGTTCATCTTGCGTTCACCGTTTGTTCACTGTTCACTTTGCGCTCGCGTTCGCGCTCCGTTCGCGTTCTGCGTTCACCCACCGTTCTCCGTTCACACATCGTTCACCAAGTTGCGTTCAGCGTTCGCACATCGTTCACCCATCGTTCGCTCTGCGTTCGCTCACCGTTCGTTCACTGTTCGTTCACCGTTCAGGTGGGAAAGTAGAACGTTTCAGGGACTGTATCATAAGTGGTGCGTATGTAGACTCATGCATGGACGTGTCTTCGTCAGCGAGAAAATTCGGGTGACATTGAAACTACGATAGAACTTAGAAAGTTTTTCATTCGATCTTATTGGCCACTTTTTAATCCCGTGAATAGTCTTAAGACTGTGATTAAAATAATGTTTGTGTATACAATATATCATATCGAATCAGACGACTGTCATGACAGTATGATTCTTACGCTTCAATGCACGTGAAACATGTGATTTTGGGGGTTGTTGATTATGTAAATGTTTGTTTTGGCTTTTTTGATAGCAATTAGTTCTAAGTGCAGAGGAATTTTAGATTATAGCTTGCCAGTTAGAGACATTAATTATCATTATCTTTACTTAAATTATTTTCATTTGGGACAAGGCATAATTTTACAAAGAGTAACAAAAAGCAAGTACTTAAATCAAGGTTAATAGCGTAAAACATGTTCTGTAATGCACCTTTTGCCTTGATGATTTTACAAAACCTAATAATGTCAGTATTATGATAAATCTTGGAGTTTGATGATTCTATAATGTACCCCAGAAATTATTTTTTTCGGTATAGTGCAACCGCAGAAATTGAAAGCGAAAAAATAATTTTCTACCTTTCAGGGGTAAAATCACAAAAATTTCCAACCGCAGAAAACACCTGTTATACTGTATACTGGAGTCCTTCCATAAAACCTATAAGGTCGTCGTTTTAATGCTGAGTTGATAAGAGAAAAATCCGCCCACCCGAACAAAAAGCAGGACTCAAGGCGGGCTTACAGATTAAAAAGGTTTGCTCTTGACCTCTGGTACTCCAAGAGGATCGTGTGTGTTTTGTCATTTTAAAGATCGATCACTATTCGTCATCTTCACATTGTCATTCACATAAATGCTACAAATTATAATAACAGGCGCTAGGACATTAAAGGTCACCTGAGTATCATTTGACAGTTTTCCAACAATTAAAGAACAAAGTTCACATTTGTCCATTTTTGGCCCTGTGAATTTCTGAAAAATCAGAACTACTCAGTTTTAGTTGAAAATATGTTATATTTCACTTGGATCCTTGGAGATTTCATATAAAGTAAAAATGACACAATTTTTGCTCTTGTCTATGTATTATGACATCATGAATTTCGTCATTTTCCACAAATCTTGAAAAGAGCAAAAGTCAGAAAGTACAATATACGGCCTGTAAATTTCTTAAAAAATAAATCATCGTTTCCCTGAAAACTATTTGTGGTTTTCGTATGTACTCGACTTCGTCAATGCAGGGGTGGGAAGTTTTAGTCAAACCGGATGTTCGCTTCTTCATCGTAACGGCTAAAACCTATAAGGGTTTTGACTTTTCCGGAATTTTTCACCGATTTTACAGATTCGCTTTAAAATTTCAAGTGGGGCGCATTCCTCTCGGAAAAAAATTCACGTATAAAATCAAACACTGGTATTTTACGCGTATTTTTCAACAAGTTTTTTTCTCCGAGAGGAATGCGCCCTATGTGTAAATTTAATATTTATGAATGTCGTTTGCTCAGCTGCGCATGCAGGAAGCAAATTTACCTTTATAGAATTCCATGTTAATAAAAGCTCGCGCGGCAAGGATTAAATTTTTCATAAGAAAGGCTACTGTAAATTATGTAAACACAACCATAAATCCATCTTTAGCAAAAATGCATTATTTATGCGGGGTAAATAGGGTAGGCTAAACAGATTCTAATATAGCCTAGTTCTCATCCCTAATTAAAAGCATAAAAAATGAAGATTTTTTTTTTTTTGGCGTCAGTCTTTGCTTTCCTCATCTGCATGTCTATTGTGGACCACTGCTTAACAGAATCCCTCCAAAGTGGCTAGGTTATAACCGTAAGGTCTATTTGCTTTGTTTTTTTTTATCAACATTTGACAAGTCGTCAATATTTTCTCGTGACGTCACAATGTACAGAAAATGACGTCAAAATTTTTGGGGAACTTCAATATAAATTTTGTACTCGTGCTGATTGTAGATCAATAACGCTAGATGTTAAAAAAAATATCAATTTTTGAAAATTTTAAATAAATAACATTATTACTA